CCCCCCAACGGTGGCGAGGATGGACTAAGGGGAACTGCCAGAGGGCAGTGGCTCGAAGAGGACGCCACAAGCTTGGGAGCAACGCAGGTCCAGACATGCCAACCGAGGGCTAGACAACGGATGGGACACCACCAGGAAGGGACGCTCCACTGGATAGAGCTAATTCCCGACACAACCAGTAGGAGGCGCCAGGTGGTGAATCCCAACCACGTCACATGTGTCTAGAATCAGAGCTTTGTATTTAAACAGGGACCCACTGAGGCAGGGCCATACTGGTCGGCTTGACCCAACCAGGGGTGGGGGCGAGAGGTGAAAGTGGCTGGCAAGATTTCAGGGTAAAGGAGGGTGCGCTCTCAGGGACTTTTCCTCATTTTACAACAGAAGGAGAAAATACATTTGAGATTTGAAGGACTCTGGGCCCAATGGATTGTGGGGCGCGGGGAGGAGGAGATATAACATAACACCTCCACGGGAGTTAGGTGGCTAACTCAGGAGCTTTTGAAAATACCACTGGGCGTCTATCTTCATCTTCCAGCACCTCCATATATTTGAAAATCTGGTCCATGATCTTCAACATTATATATAAATTCAAGTATCTTTACTGTGAATGTTTGCTTGAAACTATTATTTTTTTCTAATTGAAAAAGGATACCAGGGAATCCTTTCCCACACAATTTACTAGTGGAACTCCTTGTCACATGATATAATTAGGGACAATATTTTAAAAAAAAATTATTACTTTTCTAATTAGATTTGTGTTCATCTACAAACTCAGAAGACAGGCTTTTTCTCCTGTCGTTCACACCCTGTGTGAGGGGTAACTCTATTGGCGGTAATGTGAGTTATTGTTCTTTCACTCTATTACTTTTTATATCTCATAGCATAACACATATAATGAAAAATCAGAGGCACATAGAGGGTGATACGTTTTACAGGAGGTCCTAGATATATTGAATACATATGTTTACTGTGGCTTTTTGACTTTTTCTTTCGGAGGAGGCAGACATAGATTGAAATCATCTCAAAGGAATACAGGTAGTTTGTGTGCATGTGTACTTTGAACACAGTTAAGTTCCTTATAATATTCTTTTAAGAGGAGAATTTTTTCCTAATTCAGATGCCCACATCCCTCAAAGAACTCAATGGGAACAGAGTCACTAACTGATTGCTAGAGTCACTAATTCATTCCCCTTCCATTGCAAATTGAAAATGACTACACCTGGGTAAAGGCCATGGAGAATGAGGTCTAGAATCCCCACGGTGTTACCAATGTCACGGTAGCCAGAACATCACTGCACTGTGGAAAAACCGCTTCCCCTTTTTCTATCGGTCCCTGCTTTGCTCTGTGTCACTGTGTGTCTCTCCCCGAGCAGTAATAGGTGGCGGTGTCTGCAGCTGTCAGCGAGCGGAGCTGCAGGGAGAACTGGTTCTTGGAAGTGTCTTGTGTGATGGTCATTCGACTCTGCAGAGAGCTGGGGTACTCAGTGTACCAACTGCCAGACCTGTACCATGTGCACCCCATCCATTCTGGCCGCTTCCCCGCGGGCTGCCGGAACCAGTCCCAGGTGGCTCTGGTGCTAGAAACCGAGTCTCCGGAGATGGTACAAGTGAGTGTCAGGGACTCCCCAGATTTCGCCGCTCCCGGACCCGTTTCCTTCAGCTGCACTTGGGAGAGGACACCTGAGAAGGAAACACAGAAATGAATCAGTGAGCCAGGCTCCTATTCCCTGGGAGTGGGGAACATGAGACAATTAAACACCCTGAGATGGTGACTAAGGGAGTGAGGCACCCAACTGCCACTGAATTGCATTTGGATCCGGGCATCTCATTCCCTTAGACTGCCTTGAACATCTCTTCTGGAGTCACTGCAGCAAGGAACCCCCCGACCCCCAACAGACACGTACCTGAAGGGGCCTCCAGCATGAACAGGAAAATCAGTAGCAGGTTCATCTTAAGTGAAGGTACAAACTGTCCCCAGCAGCCAGGCCCAGGCAGCTCTGTGTCTGGAGGGAGACTGAGGCTTCTCCAATCAGGGGGTTGTATTTAAAGAGAAACCCTCTGGGCAGGGATTTGCAGGGGGGTTTCCCAGAATTAATATAAGAGATGACAGGGTGTGAACTCTGTCTACACCTGGGGATCTCTCCTTGGAACGCGCCCTACCCCCTGAGACAGTGAGTTCAGCTCAGCAAAATGTGAAACCGCCCAAGGTACTTGGACACCCAAACTCAATTTAAATAAATAGCATTTGGTCATTTAACGCTCTCAAAGGACTTTGAAATTCTCATTCAAATGTAAGTGCAGGACAGCGCCGCCTTTGGAATGAAGGGATATCTGGAGAAGAGAAATGATACCCCTTCTCCCACGCTTTTGGATGGGATTTCAAAAGAGCCCAAGGGAATTAAGAACCAAATGGCATCGAAATTCAGTAGGTTCTGGGCCTTTAACTCTCTCACCCCTTCTCTTAAATCCTATCCCGTGTTCGGTAGAGATTGATCATATTAGCAACACGCTGCATTTACTGTGCAGCCAGAGATACATTTATAGCGAATAAGGGTTTTATTACAATGCACTGAGTTAAATGAGAGTCTTTCAGCTGATACTAACATGCTCTGGGTGACATTAGTTAGTGAGTTTATGTCTGCTGCCCTCAGAAGACAATAACTGTCTGAGAATATCCCTTCTCCCCCTCCGTTCGATATCATATCCCATGTGTTCTCTGCCAGGTCCCCTTGTGGAAATGACCCAGGCTCATAATCTGGATACTATCTGTGTGGTGAATGTTTATCTTTGGCAATGCTTTGCAAGAAAGTATTTTCGAGCATAAATTACATTTCTGATCCTTGGCGCCACTTGAGTTACTGTCACTTCTCATTGTCATTTTGTTCTAACACCAGTCACAGAATAATCCTTCTTGATCTTTACACTGCTGTAATTCTGAGCAATTCAGAGGTCTCTGTTCCTCCTCTGCGCTTTCCTTGTGAAGTTTCCCGTTGTTTGTTTTCTTGCTGTCAATACAGAATCCAACCATGAACTAAGTATTTTGTAAAACACATTCGAAGACACGTTCATTCTGTCTGTCTCTCTCTCTCCCTCTCCCTACACATACGTCCCATTTATGTAGTGATCCGTCATTCTTGCATTAGTCTGGTTTTCCTTCTTTTACATAATAACACTCATACTTTATAAATTGGGTGCAAAGGCAGGTGTTTCTGGTCTGAAGGAGATAGTATAGTTACCGTGGAGTTTTGCCCCGTTATATTACAGAAGAAAGGAATACGCTTGCCCTGTGCACAAGGGATATGCTTAAGGTAAAGTTCCCATGCTATATTTGCAATATATTTTTAGTCAGGGTTGCATATCAACAAGATTTGCCACCGTATAAAATCCAGGGGGCCCTGATTCTAAACCCACTCAAGCCTGGGCGCTATGCCGGTGCAGACAGCTATATCATGCCAATCTGAAGTGACGACAGGGTCGATGGGATAGAGAAGGAAAACCCCAGTTCACCCCAAAGATCGGAAGCATTAGTAGTTCTCTGCGTGCACTGTGAAAACCTGCTTCTCCTTTTTGTAGGTGCCCCTGCTGCACTGCATCACTGTGCACCCCGGTGTGTGCGTGTGTATCCCCCGGGCACAGTAATAGGCGGCGGTGTCCACAGCTGTTAGCGCGCGCAGCTGCAGGGAGAACTGGCTCTTGGAAGCTCTTGGCTGATGGTCAGTCGTCTCTGCAGATCCCCGGCGTAGTTCGTGGGCGAGCCACCAGCTGAATGCAAGATATTCCCCATCCACTCCAGCCTTCCCCCCGCCGGACACCGGATCCATTTAAACCAGAGCAGTCAGAGGGACTAGTATTTAGTTCTCCTGCCTTCTTCATTCCCTAAGCAACTCCCAGCAGGGTCAGCCTATAGATTCCTGATTTGCCTTCTGTGTATATTTTCCTTCCACTGGTTTGCTTGGCATTAATATAGCAGCAGAAAGTGCAATGTGCAATTTATATCACAAATACAATCTATCTATCTATCTATCTATCTATCCCCATCCACCCCATCTATCTATCTATCTATCTATCTATCTAATCTATCTAATCTATCTATCCCCATCCACCCCATCTATCTATCTATCTATCTATCTATCTATCTACATCCACCCCATCTATCTATCTATCTATCTATCTATCTATCTATCTTTGCCTCCTACCCGCTCTTTAATGTTGCTATCAAGAGTTATCAGTTAGGAGCGAGCTACGTTATCGATCCATTGCGTTCTCGGGGTAACCTGGTCACTGAGTGAGGAAACAGACTTTGCAAAGACGCTCCGGAATATTTCTGTGTTTTGTTGTTTTTCCTCCCTACATTTCTGGAAATCATTTTAAGGAGAAGAGTCAGAGCTGCGGAGATGGGATAAAAACCATCTCTGTGGATACATTCTACAAAAGGGCCTTAGGTGGCAGGGCACGGCAGCTGAAGAGGACCTTGTGCTGGCTCCTGGGAATAGGGTGAATTTCAGTCACAGAGAATTATCAGCCTCGGTACAAAAGCGATAGATCACTGACACCTCCCCCCCACCCCCGCTTTCCAGTGCATAGTACTCACACTGGGTTCAGCGATCCCACTGCTCTTCGCCAACGTCTCAGCTTCTCCATTGACTTCAGTGGGAGAAGGCGGGATACGGAGTCGGTGTGTCTGATCTGGTGGGTCACTGGGCGCATCCACAGCTCAAGGGCGGATGCACCTGTTCTTTCCTCCTGCTCCATGAAATACACCCTGGGCATCCGCTCCCTGCGCTCCCCAGGGGGATGGGATCAGCAGAGCCTCTGTCTCCTCCTACAGCTCGGTGCGGTGTCCCTAAGGGGAGATACTTTGTGTCAGTTCGTATTGCTCTGGAGCATGAACGCCACCCGCAGGAAATCCCTTCCCCAGTCTCTAAAGTGTGGACGGTTTTGTGTGAGTGCAGACTGGCTTCCCCTCACTGTGTGTCAGTGTCTCTCGAGTAGTAATACACGGCGGTGTCCTCCGCTTTCAGGCTGGTCATTTGCAGGTAGAAGTTGGAGCTGTCCTTGGAGGCTGTGACTCACCCCTGGATGGAGGGGGAGTAGTTATTCGTGACTGAAGATTTGAGATAGCGAACCAGCCACTCCAGTCCCTTTCCCGGCTGCTGCCTGACCCAATCCATCCACCGGTCGTTAGGAACAAACCCGCTCATGGTGCATTTCAGCTGGGTGGATTCCCCGGGCTGCTTCACTTTGAGACCTGATTGGGTCAGAACAACCTGCGAACGGGCCCCTGGAGAGGAGGGATGAGGGAGGAGAGAAAACAGGGAACAGGGAAGAAACCAGTCAAATTAAATACATTCTCCATCAATTAAAAGGAGGCAAAGAAATACATAAAAACGTGTTTACGATATAACAACATTTAGACCAAAAATATAACATGCTCCTGCATCTCCAATGTGTTCAGGTGGAGAAAATACCTGCAAAGCCACTACAATGAAAAGTAAGTGAAGCCAAAGTCTCATTTTCCCAGACGTTGGAGAGGAAAGTTCTCGGGTGGGTTGGCCGGTAACTGCACAGACCCAGGGGCTGCGGATTGTCTCTCCCAGTGCAGCCTGGGCAGAGAGAGGGGCAGATTTAAACAGGAAACCGACACCCCGATTTACATATCCCACTCCTTATAAAGAGAGACAAACTCTTCCCTTATGGCCCCGAATCACTTGCACAATGGTTGAGAGAGAAGGAGCCAGGCTGAACCTTTCCCTATGTTTGTACAGCGCCTAGCACACTGCGGTGGGATCCTGATTATACTTTGCCTTGAGGGACAAATCTGCACCTGCCTTCAATGATCCCAAATCCCT